TAGCCTCCCAATGCACAAGTTTCTAGAATCCTATTATTTTGCCTGTAAGAAAAGATCTTATCTTCTGTCTTTAGCACCAGTCAGTTTAAAATACTTTGGGCCTTGAAAGAAAAATAAAGTACCACTCTGCCTAACTTGGGGTGAGAAAGAAGCTTCAAGGGAAGGAATGAGTAGTAGGACAAGGGTAGGAATTGAGTCTCTGGGGGTAGGAGACATCTTTTCTAGTCCACAGAGTGTGTGTGTGTGTGTGTGTGTGTGTGTGTGTGTGTGTGTGTGGTCATGGGGTGGGAAGGTGTGAGCTGAGGACAAAAGATGATCTCAGTATGACAAATTTGAGCTGAATTTTAATTTTGTCTGGTACCAAATCTCTATGCAGATAAAATAGAAAATGATTAATTGTGACTTGATTTTAAATTAAAAGGCATTAGCTTGCAGTGTGGACCACCTGAAAATGCTTTGTAATAAATATTAAGCTTCTGTTTAAAGTTCAGCATTTGTGTCATGAAGCAAATGGATAGCATATCCCGTCTTAAGACTGCAACACCAGTGATTTGCTCTTTCTTCTTTTTCAGAACAAATAACTCACGAGACCGGAAAGCTAGGTATGTATAAATGAACTTAAAAATTAAGGCAAGAGAATTTTAAGTGGAATATATTTGAAAAACAGAAAAAAAGGTGTAAGACCTTATATTCAGTAGAACTTTTACAATCTTTTAAAATACAGTATCTATTTGCATTTTGGAAACCAAAATTAATATGACAATGATTATCTGCTGAGGACTCCATTTCAACCTTTAGAATTCTACGTAACATAAAGTTGGAAACGTATGAAGATGATCAAATAGGAAAAACCAGAACTCTTTTAATCTGTTTTTTAACTAAATAATGCAGTTGATTATTCTAAAATTCGAAATCCTAGCATATTGCAGAAATAATAATAATAGCAAAAGAAAAAAATCATTTATTAAACTTTTGCTAAGTATAAGGAATTTCTAAATTGTCCCCGGTAAAATGTCCATGACTTTATGTGATAGATATTTTACAGATGAGAAAACAGAGTGTAAAAGACTTGTCTAATAGCACACTATGGTAAAGGCTACAGCCAGGAACATAAGGGCATTCAAGGGATTTTGAGAGGGAATTTAAATTTATTTGCTTTGGCAAAATGGTTTCTCATTGACACCTAATTGCAATTTCAATGCAAATGTTTGTTTAGAAGCAATTGCAGTAGTTAGCTAGATTAAGTAGATAGCTAGATTTAAGTAGCTTTCTACAACTTTTAACATTCTCTTTCTCCCTTTCTTTTTCTTTTTTTTTTTTTTTCAAACAAGGTCTGGTCTCCCCCAGGCTGGAGTGCAGTGGGTTGATCACAGTACTGCAACCTCTACCTCCTGGACTCAAGTAAACTTCCCACCCCAACCTTTGGAGTAGCTGGGAATATAGGTGCATGCCACGTACCTGGCGTGTGTGTGTGTGTGTGTGTGTGTGTGTGTGTTTGTTTGGTAGAGACAGAGTTTTGCTAGCTGGCCGAGGTTGGTCTCGAAGTCCTGAGCTCAAGCGATTCACCCACTTTGGCCTCCCCTAGTGCTGCGGTTTACAACCTTAAACTTCCAATCCAATGATCAGGCACCATAATGTATAACCTATTTCAATCTTATAAAATACAACTTCTCCCACAAACAGCCACCATCTTTGTATATTTGAGCGACTGTTCATTTGAATTCCAAACTCACGCCAAACCTTTAATGCATTCTGCAATTAATCTCCAACCTACTGAACCTTTAGAATTATACATAACATAATTCATTCACTTATTTAATGAATATTGAGTGCTTATCATATACCAGATACTGGTATATCATATACCAATTCCAACTGTTGAAGGTACAAAGCCCAAGCCATTAAAGGGTTCATAGTTAATAGAAAAAAGAGATATCAGATAGATAGATGATTAGATAGATACATAAAATAATGTTGACATGTTCTTAGTGAAAAAACTGGATTGTCACTCAGCAACCATTATTTCCTTTGTTAGTAAATTATTCATGAATTTTAATTGGGCTCATGACCATCTAGAACAGAAGCTACACTTCCCAAACTCTCTGGAGTTATGTATGTATATGACTAAGTTCTGCCCAATGGGATGTAAACAGAAGTATGAACAATATCAGACATGTTCTGAAAGGAAGACAGTGTGCCCTTCTCATTACTTTTCTTTTTCCTGCTAGTTGAAATATGTGCATGCTAACTGGAGCTGGAGCAACCAATTAGGCCTAAGGGTTCTGCATTTTAAGGATAGTGGAGCAAAAAGTTACAGGGTAACGGAGCCCTTGACAATTATGTCAATCATGCAACCCTCAATTACTACCTCCAGACTAAGCTTACCTGTGACAGAAACATCTTCCATCTTTTTACAGTTCTGTTTTGGGGAAGTTGCTGTCACTCCCATTTTACTTTTATCTTAACTGACAGAAAAGTATAAAGAAAACAAAGCAGAGTAAGGGACTGGAGAGTGGCACAGAGTGATATTTTAGACAGGGTGATTATGGATTTGATGAGGGTGACTTGATGAGGGATTGTTATCTGAGCAGAGTCCTGAACACATGACTGTGTCATGTGAGTATGGGGAAAGTATGGAAGGGGGAAATAGTAAAAGGAATACAGCATCTATTTTCATTTTGGAAACCAAAATTAACATAAGGATTATCTGTTGAGGATACTATTTCATCCAGGAAAAGGCGGAAATAGTAAAAGGAAAAGCCCAGAGATAAGAACATGCTTTTGTGTCCAAGGGCCATCTAGGAGGCCAAATCTTTTAAAAGGCAAACCTTTCAAATCTTGTTATGCCCGCAAATGAAAATCCTTGACCCTACACATTGTGGAGACTAGTCAACTTTGCAGACTAGTCTCTGTAGGGTCTCTTCAAAAAGCATGACCCAGTTATGAGTCTAAGCTTTTACTCAGTTTCATGGCTCACCCTCTAATAGTCCATTTCAAAATGCTTCCTGAGTTCACTATTCAAATACTACCCACTTTTCTGAACCTAGCATCAGTACTCACTACAGCTTAAGAACTGGCTCTATTGATCCCCCCCACTTTGCTTTCTTTTTTCTTGAATCTACATAGATATTATTGTCTATATTGTTCATTTTCCTTATGAACAATCTATCATTCTATTCTAATTCATGTATGTGTCTGTTGTCACCTCAATTAAGATGTAACATAAGAGCTAGATCTTTAATAGTGTTTTAAGTCCCTTTTGGCTACTATCTGTTCAAACAGAAAGTGCTCACTTAAAACTTTCTGCGTGTCTAACGAAGATTTCATTTAACCACCTCACAAACCAGAAACACAATGGAGAGAACCTAATCTTTCCCTGTTCCTCCCTTTCGCCAGGAAGATATGAGTAGCTAAAGTATTTGGTGCTATATATAGTCAGTTGATGTCAGCTGAATGCCAGTCTCTTCAGAAAAGCTCCGTTCCCAGTTTGAGTTAGAGTAGGGACCATGCTGTCCCAGGTTCAAGGATAAAAAGCATCAGGCCCAAGTGCCATCCATAGTCCATCTCCAGAGTCTTCCTCCACAAACTGGGATTCATCCCCGCTGAAAAGCACAATCTAACAGCAAGGTGAGTATGCTGTTTCCTAAAATGTTTTATTAGTCAGTTGTCCAAGGAGATCCAGAGTTATGACTCATAAATGGGCGCTCTCTGCTCTAAAGGGCAGCTGTTGAAAATATTAAAATGTTACCACCAAAGAATTCTGGTTTAATCTGGTGTTTTCTTCATTGTTACAGTTTGCTGGAATTGATGGAGTGTGATGCTGGTACAAATGAAGGCTAGTGAGGAGACAATGATAGATTAAAATACTGTGGAGAAAAGAGAGGGAGAGGAAAGGAGGCCAGAAATTTCATTGTCTCTCCCTGCCTGATGATCATTGTATTAATGTCCAAATAAGACTGGGTCTGTGTTCACTGTGACATTGCCTGTCAATGAATAACGTGCCCTGTCACCAGATAAGGAATGCATACTGAAGTCTTTCAGTAGCAAGTGATAATAACTTTTTAATAAAGAACAAAGATGATGTCTTTCAAAACAGTGATTATGAGACACTCCAAATAAGTTCTTCACATTGCCTCAATAATGTCCCTTTGTTTTTAACAGGGAACAAAAAAACCATGCTATCACATAATACTATGGTGAAGCAGAGGAAACAGCAAGCAACAGCCATCATGAAGGAAGTCCATGGAAATGGTATCAATAAAAATCCTTCGTAGCATTAATATAGCTCAGCATAAATGTGGCTCCTTCCTGATGTTGTTTAATATTCCATAATTTACTTCCTTTAAATTCTTGCTGTTCTGTCATAACAAACCTGGAGCTCTAGTGGGTGTAGAAAAGCCTATGGTAACTAATCCTTTTGTAGTCATCCTTTCTCATTTGGAAGCTATTTTCAGAGGAACAACTGCTGTAAAAGGCATGAAGCAATCTGACAGCTGATGTACATTCTGCTTGGCTTGTCTTCCACATTATAAGTTAAGATCACTCTCAATTATTTTTTTTTTTCTGAACAAGTCTCATGGAATGTTGTCTTCATTGTCCATTCCATATGGTTTAGCTTGATTTTTTTTACTTTACATCATACAAATCACTCAAAATAAGTTCTATCATCTTTTTATAAAGCGATTAAGTTGGAATTCATATTTATTGCTTATTGTTTAACCCTTCATATTTGGTAATTGATTTACTAACATATTTTGTGTGTGGAGTCTACTTTGATTTGTAACTTCTGAGAAAATATAAAGTTATTGTAGTCTCAAGGCTTATGACTCAAAAAAATGTTTGATATTCATTACACTTAAGGTAATATTTCACCCTCTTCTTTAAATTCTAGTAAATAACTTGAGAAAGCCATGCTTTATAACTTACATTTTGATTCTTATAAAGGAAATTCAACTTTTGTTTTTGAGCAAAGGATAGCATCAATTTTAAAAGTTAAAAAATATTCAGGTCCTTTTAGGGTTGATCTGAGCAATTCCAGATATATTTGTGGAATTTTCAGAATTCTTCCTTATTTCCCCTCTGTTGACGAGGAATGCAGCCTTTCCCCATTACGATATTGAGACCTAGAAGCTTGAGACCTGGGAACAGTATTGAGCATAATGTTTTCATATTTCACTTTCCATAAAGCAAGCTGAACAGAACCAGACAAAGACTTTTAGATGCTCCCCACGCAATGTAGTCATAACTAAGAGGTCCTGTTAAGTTGTTTTCTATTTCCTGCAATACAAAACTCCTGTAGTGGATTCAGCTTGGTTCTCATATTTTACTATAATGTCAAATTAGCTTGGAATACAGTGAAAATGATTCTGAATCAGATACCAGAACTGAATTCGTACCAATCCAAAGTTCCAAAATTCATGCCTCTTTTAAAATGTCATGCATCTTTGTATTTCCTGCTTCAAGTAGTTTACTTGAAATAATTTTATAGCTTTCCTGATCAACAAGGCAAAAATCAGATGATCACTGGAGTTTGAGACAAAATTGTTTATCTTAAAATAGACTTTTGATGTTATTATTTTCTAATGGCATCCTAATCATAAACCAATCAGTGCATTTAATGTATTCCCAGACTAAGTCATGTGTTTGAGTCTACTCTGTTAGCTCTGACATAGATCTATAAGAGTAATTTATTTTTCATTTTTACAAACATAACTATTGTTTTTATGAAAAAATATTTGATATATATATTGATTATATATCAAGGTGGGGAAAACACTCAAAACTACTATCTCACCACCAGTAAATACTAGTCTTCTAAAGTCAGCTGAAGCCCTGCCTCCCATGTCGCTGGATGAGTTCCAACCCCCTTAAGGGGAGTCACATGCTCTGTCTTTATTTGGATGTCAAGAATTTCAGATAACGTGGGGATAATCAGACTCTTTCCAAGCTTAACCCAGATGAAATAACTTCAGTACTGTATGACACAGCTCAAATATTTTTCTTCTCTTATTTCCTCTGACATTTTATATGGAACTTTACTATTTGTGTACAGCATGATGTTTAGAGATCCGGAGCCAGGGGAGTCTAATTTTTTTCTAAGGATGCAGAAATAAGACATGGGTTTTAAAGAAACTTTTTTGGGAATGATCCTCCAAACTTTCAAACATATTGCAGCAGTAAAAATCTGGATAATTTAAGATAAAGCATGCAACTGCTTCAATCTTAATTGTAAGACTAAATAAATCAAATTTTGACTGTATTATCCTTTATAAAGACAAATGAAAATGGATGCTCCAGTCCAAATCTCCTTCTCTTACCTTCCCTCCTCTCCCCTTGTGCATCAGAATTTTTTTTTCAGCATCATAAGTCATCTAATTTTTATTATCACTTTCCAAAAACATTTAGCTTGGAGGCATATAAAATGTGACAATGAGTTGGCTAAACCAGTTGTTGTCCTCTTAACATTAGGTGGAAATTCAATCCCATTCGTGTAGGGGAAAAAGACTGCAGCCAGTGAGTCTTTAAGATAAATCAGTAGAGAAATACAAGAACCAGAAATGGAGAGTTTTACTTTAAAGCCCTTATTTCCTCAGAAGGAGAAATAATCTCAAAGAATAACTGAAAAATTCTCTTCATATGGATTATAATGCTAACTGCATAGAATGAGTGAGAGGTGGATAACTCCAAACATCTACTAATCACACCTCCAAATTGTTGCTCATTTTGGATCCATTGTGATTTGGTTTCAAATTATATACTAGAAGCAAATATACCACACTCCCAACAAATGACTACTAAAAAGCATCCCAAACATAAAGACTGCCTACTTTTAGATTTACCTTCCTCATTATCGTATCATAGTTCTGATTACCATCATCAACACCTTGGCAGTAAGCAGAACTAATGGTAAAGCTGTCTTGGTTACCGTTGTAATACAAACCTCTGTGCTTTATACAAACACATCTCAGCCACAGTTGTTACCATCTAAAAAGTGCTACTGTAAAAGACAAAAAATACTTTGCCATTATCTGTGCATGAATTAGTTGTGGAGATGAGAAAGGCTGGCCTCTATTAGTCCCTAGCCATGAGCCCTGTGCAATTTACTCCTAAATCTATACATATTTTCTAGTATTAATCATATTTTTCTCTTGTTCAGTGACTCATATGAAACTTGAAGACTGATAATTAGGAAGGTAAATCTAAAAGTAGGTAGTCTTCATGTTAGGGATGCTTCAAGTGAAACTTGAAGACTGAAGGAAGAGAGAGAGGTAGGAAAGGATAAAAGGATAGGAAGTAACATAACTGATAACGAGCTGGGACAATCAGAATGAAATAAGGAGAGGCACTCTAAAGAAACTAGCATCTGTTTAGAAATGCTGGGGGAAAGGAATTGGAATTATAAAAACCATAAGAAGAACTGGGAGTATGATGTTCCCTGACTTTACACATGGATATTGCTGACAGTTTAGAATAAGAACCTCATAAATAGAGAAGACCACAGTGCCTCATTAGTAAGCTTCAGTCACCCTACTGTTCTCTCACCTGGGTTCCAGGAGGGCTTTTTTAGTATGTTTTTTTGTTGTTTGTTTTTTTCTCCTCGTGATTGGGCAACAGCTTTCCCCAGCACACCGAAGAGAACTGGGCAGACTGTTTTTGTAACTTCAGGAAGAGAGCTTAGCTTCGTGGCCTGAAAACAGGAAGCCCAAGTTCTAAATAGAGTGCTGTTTTAATGTGGTACCAGGGTTCCTGGGTTCCAGACTAGACATCAGATTTTACATCAGAAAGTGAGGAAGGCTGGATTTGCTGATACATCTAATTGTAAAATGCCATGATTCTCATTTACTGAGTTATGTGCAGAAGCCAAACATCAGTGTGTTTGAGTTTCTCCATCAGTAACAGAGGAAATGATAATATTGACATGAATTGCAAGGACTCTTTGAAAAAGTACAAAATCTAGAATTTCAGATGAAAGATTACAGGAAGACCACTTTTACTTTTCTTGTAGGAGCATATCTTAAACTGTAAATAATCAAATCTTCAATATAAAATGAGATGCCCAAAAGGCCTATAATACCTCCTATCAAATATAAAAGTTTATAGAAAAAGAACTTAATGGTTTAGTGTACAAGTTTGGTAATTTTCTTTTGTTTATCTTTTACATTAGCATTCTTATAACCCCAGGAAAAATAAGAGCTAGAAAGATTTGCATGTTTTATTTTGAAAACTGGTGTACAGTCATATCTTATGAATTCATAAGTTTTCTGAGCATCTAACCTCTAAGAAGGCACTCCAGAAAACTAGTACAAGAGAACTAGTCTAAATTGTATTTTACACCTAAGTTGAAATTGCGGAGTTCAATTCTAGCTATAGATTTCTTTGAAGCTTTTTTCATGCAAATATGTTTTAGATATACATCCTGTAAACAGTACTAGATTATTCTGTTTGTATAATTCAATACATTGGTAATCTAATTTTTGAATGTTTGTAGATTTATACAGTCCTTAAATAGTATTTTTATTAATGACAAATTTTTGAAAACTTTATAATAGCCTTAGAACTCAAATCAAGACAAAGACATGTGAAATTAAAAAAAAAATCACAGATGGTATTCAAAATCAACTTTTTTATGTAAAGATAATTATCACAGAAGTTTTTATCAACTGGAGTTTTAAGGCATTATCCAAAATCACAGTCTGGACTATGATCTTATGTGTTATCTATAATATGTACATATATGCTACTTTATACAAAAACATATTTTATGGATTATTATTCAGTTACATAGGCCAACTGTCTAGGAACAGGAGGAAGGGTTCTGTGCAAATGCAGATAATCAATAAGCCCACACTAAAGCAAATAAGCTTCAGCTAGCTCCCCTCCAGTGGTTTCACCTACTCTATCAGAATTGCAGTCACCAGTCAATCATGGTAGAAGAGTTTTAAAAGGTGTTTTGTCTTACTACAATCATTTCTAAGTGAGTGTCTTCGCAAACTATGAATTAGATTAACTCATCTAACTGAAGTTCTGGATCAGTATAAATGACACCAATAGGAGAGTATACCTAGCAATATTTTCTTTCTTTCTTTCTTTTCTTTCTTTCTTTCTTTCTTTTTCTTTTCTTTCTTCCTTTCCTTCCTTCCTTCCTTTCTTCTTTCTTTCTTTCTCTTTTTCTTTCTTTCTTTCTCTTTTTCTTTCTTTCTTTCTTTCCCTCTCTCCCTCCCTCCCTCCCTTCCTCCCTCCCTCCCTCCCTC